CCGTGGAAAGACTCACTTCTATAATAAGGTTAAGATAATAGGCAATATATGAGGATCTTTGGAAAAAATGGACGATGTATATTAATGATTACTGACCACCTGTTCTTTCTAAATTGTTCTGCTTGATATTATTTGTAACTTTTAAAAATAGTAAAATACAGGTGAAAAGAAAATGCTATTTACAATTCCATAGGAGCAGGTCTAGCATTTACGGAGGTAGACTCTTTTGCACTATGGCAGCGTAGAGCTAAGCTAGTCACTATAGGGATCACCATTACGCTCTACTGTGACTGGGGCAAGTATAGAGTAACAACAACAGTAAGACGGATCCTACCTGATAAAATAAACCTAAACCTACAGAAGACCTTTTGGTTTAGGATTCTTTTTATCACTTAACCTAACACTAAACTTCTAAAATTAGTCTGTTTATATAACTATGCTAAGCAGCTCATTAAAACATGACAACGATGTGGAACAGGTAATGTGTATATTTGCTGTATTATGCATAGATAAAATCTATATCCTACACAGACTAATAAAATACCATTTAAAAAATGTTCTATGTAATCAAACCTCTGTCACGACGAAATAGATGATGCGGACGTTGCAGAAGTCTTTCTTTATCCAATCATCAGATATCTGGAAATAAATGACACACTGCAGCTTTAAGGCCAATCTTAACCCCCGATTGCTCCCCAGTAGCCCCATGATGGCAGCCCACTGCTCCCCGAGGGGAGGGGTTAAATGCAGAGAGTTAATTTTGTTGCTCTGTACTTGTGACAGTGGAATGACAATAAAAAAAAAAAAAAAAAAAAGCGTATTTAGAGGAGAAGCGAACAATATTCTGTCTGATTTTGGCAGCTCTGGTTTAACGACATCTTATTTTTTTTTTAATGATTGTGATTAAACCCTCAGCCCTGACTAATTATATTCATATTGTTGCTGAATTCAACCAAACTTTGTCCTCCACTGTTTCCTCAGGCAGAAGAAGTGCATGGGCAAGCTAATGGAATATAACGCTGATGTCAACATCTGCAACAATGAAGGCCTGACTGCTGTGAGTTGTTGTTGGTTGATAATGTTTCATGCTTTCCACCTCTCCCTCTCTGAATCAGACTGTCATCCTCTACTGCAGATCCACTGGCTGGCTGTTAATGGGCGGACGGAGCTTCTGCACGATCTGGTGCAGCACGTGTCTAATGTGGACGTGGAGGACGCTATGGGGCAAACCGCGCTACACGTAGCATGTCAGAATGGACACAAAACAGTGAGCCGATTCAAGAAGATTTTTCTGAACTGTTAAAAGAGGGTTTGGGGTTTTTGGTTGTAGTGACTTGTTCTTAACAGAAAAAAAAATAAAAAAAAAGAACCTAAGCCACGATGAGGCTGCTGACCGGCACTCGCATTGCCCGCTTTTATTAAATGAATAAACCTTCAGGTTCTTGGCTTGCAGAGCATTAATTGATCCGACACCCTCACAAAAAGCACTTTTTAACTATCTCCACTGGCTTAAAATCAAAGGATCTTACATTTGCCGCAACACAGTAATAAGTAACAGAAAAACCTACAAACAACCGGCAAAGATGACAACGGTCAAAAAACTGTTTGTTTTCGCCGCAATTAGCACACCTGCCGTGCGACTACCTGTGACTCCATTTAAAACAGATAAATCAGCCCACTGTCAGTTTTCTGTATTACAGCAAATAGGAAAATAAATACAAAAACTCCAAAATATGGCTCAAATATTGGTAAATTAACTAATTTAAATATAGATAGCCATAAAAGTTTGATGTAAAGTTTGGATTATCTGGTCACACTAACAACACTGAAGGGCAGGTTATCCTCCTGTAGCAGATATTGTTGCCCAATATTGAAGCGTGGGCTGCGCTATGTTATTCCACGCCACAACGCCAGAGGGACAATCACGAACTAGCTGTGGGTCTAGATACGGCCGAGGAGGTGAGGACAAGGGGGCAAGCGACAATAGAGGGACATGAGGGCCAAAAAAGAGGGGATCCAGGTGGAAAAAGGTCCCAGCGTTTTCGCACACCTCGCTCTTTTAGCTGGCCCAACTTCACTTAACGGGCACTTAACCTGACTCCTCCAGATGGATTTGCTCCACATATCCATCTGGAAAC